CACGCACCCACTCTCTCTATCCAAGCTGTATGTTTTCCCATAGCACACCATTTGCAATGCAACCACTTTGCATTTGCTTATAAAATCACATATATATTAAAATAAAGATCTGCTTGTAATAGAAACTTGGTGTACTAAGTAAATCCATCAAAACCACACACCATAACCAAGTTTCCTAGCCACAAGTCTGCAAACAGACAAAAATTCATACACAAGCACACAATCCACACATATTCACACACACACACATAATCATATCCTACTGGCACCCTAATCTTAAATACATTACAATATATTTGCTCAAAAGAAAGGGGTTGCAGTTCTTTACAAATCACAAGCAAACCCCTAGCTTTGCTCTTTTCCCCGTCCACCACTGGATCCTTCGCCTGGACCTAGAATATTGAAAAGAAAGGGGTGAGACAACCACAGTCTCAGTAACAGTGAAATCTATATTGATTATTACAAAGTAAGCCATAATTAAATAAATGAATAATAAATTCAACATAGTATATAATTTAGCCATTTAAAATGCATGAATGCATGACCTAGGCCGGTATGGCCTTTCATGACCAACAGAATGCCCCTTGGCACTCTTTAACTCGCAGGTAAACCTTATACCTACTTGTACCTCCACAGGCACAAAACATAATCTAAGGCATGATCTAATCCACCGAACCGCCTATGCCCCTTCGACGTGAATCCTGAGCAGTCAAAGCTAACTCCCTCCCAGAGCCAGCCCGACTTACTCTCCATGTGAGGGCTACCTTGGCCTAGGCACTCAACCTCACACTTCATATGTCGGATTCCCTCCCCCACTGAGAGGTGTCGAACACTCAATACACTAACCACTTTAGTGCACTGAGCCCACAATACGTAAGACAACACTGAGTACTGACAGTGTGCCATAGAATATCAAAAATCCACACCTTCTCATTGGTGAACTCCCACCGAGATCATGCCTTTTACTCTTGTCTACCTTTCCTGAGTATTGACCATTCAACACTCTAAAGTAGTATAATATTTATAAATCTCATTTCCATAAAAACATTGTTATTAAACAATTAGAAAACATATTTGCACTATAATCAAAGTAGTACCCCATAACCCCTTATAAAGCACATTTAATCTTTTAAAACATGTAATGCATGATAACTAGTAATATTTATTTAAAAATAGCTAAAACAAAGTAACAAGAAATATAAATTCCCCTGTTACCTCAACCCTTTGGTACCAAAAGGGTTCCCCTTGTACAAAATAGGGCTCGGCTTGTTCCTTACTTCTCAATAAGTTCCACCAACAATTTTCTACAACATATAAGTGATCCACATCACTTATTATGAAAAATAGCATTAATGAAGACTATAACTCATACCACACAACTTGGCTCTATGAGTCATAATCCAACCTAATGGTCCATATATTAAACCAACCATTCACATAGTATCACTTAACCACCAAAACCATTTATTGGCCATCACTAGGCTAATTTTCAATTTATATAATTTTTTATCAATTAAAAACCTTCACTTAGTGTCACCAACTTTCACCATTAGCCCTTATAATGAAAACCAAACCTTAATTTAAATCTTATTGGGCTCAAATAGCAAAATTATAACTAAATCAATAAGCTTAAACCATTGAAGAGCAAAAACCCAATTTCTCAAGGTTTATTTTGTGCCCAAAACACCTCTTTTCATCCAATTATCCACTCAAAATATTAGATCACTATCTAGAAACTCAAAACATGCTCCCTAGGATCCAAAGAAATAAAAGCTTACAAGAATAAAGCCTTTGGGATCAAAATCCAAAAATTTCCTCTTCCAAAAATTGAAGAAAATCAAGAGAAAGAGAAGAGGATTGAAGTAGGGAGTTTACCTATCGTGTAGCCGAGCTCGCAACGGTCGCAAAGACTCCTAGATCCAAGCCTAACTCCCTCCCTTTCTCTTCTCTTCTTCCTCTCTCCCTCTCATACGTTTCCTTTCCTTTCCTTTCCAACTCAATTTCTGCGTTTCTGCATCAATTTGGGTCTTTAAATTGCTGGTCAAAAAGTTTGGGGAAAATTACAAGAAAGGGCCCAACATTTTTTATTATTGCACAAAAGCCCGGGTCAACTTTGGTAATTTTTCCCATAGTTAAAAATAAATAAAACCAAACTTTTGCTTAGTAAAATTCAAACTCTGGGCCTCTATTAAATTATTCTAAATTTTAATTTAATTATAGATATTTTATTTTATTTTTATTTATTTTTTTTTAAATAAATTTGAGTCTTAAAATTTTTAGGATGTTACAGAATGACTCCACATTTTAGTTCCATTGGCCATAAAACAAAGTTAAATTGTAAAAATTAACTTCCCATTATTGAAGACTATAATTGACGGAATGGTGATATTACTATAATTGTAAAACAAAGTCAAGTGGTGTCTGAAGATGGAAGGACAATATAATTGTTGGAATAGTGATATTGCTATACAAAGCAATTTCATACCATGTAATTTCCAAAAATATATTCATTCAAATACTTTGTGAAAAGGAACTAATGGCTACAAAAATAAATGAGACCTACTCATACTTGTTATTGCCTCTTATTATTGTGCTTCATGGTAGATTGTAAAATATTTTAGTCACACAATTTGGATTCTAAGGGTAAACTAATTAAATTAAAATACATAAAAGTTCATTCATTCAAATCCTATTTGACTACAAAAAAAAAAGGATTTCAAGAAACTCTCAGTGCAATATAATCTCATATTCTATCAGGTCATATATGCTACCATATAAAAAAATTCTAATTTACAAGATACCTTCATGCTTAACATGGCTTTACTTTGTTTAGCAATGGTAACTTTTCATAAGAAGATATTTTATGTAAGTAAATTTTTTGAATGGTATGATCTGAGAAACCACTCTAAACATGTCATTGTATCCAGTATCTTAAATAGAGGTATCTTTGAACATGCATGTTGGATGTCAACTAGCATCTAAAATATTATCATGAATTAAAATAGAGTACCCTAAAATTGCCTTTTGAAATAAGCGGTAAAATAACGGCACAAAATATTATCAAACATTGAAATAATGCAAGTCCTCCAATCACTATTACTTGCAAGTCATAAATGTCTATTGTGACAGATTCCACATTCCAACATCTCCCAAACTTAATTTCTATTAAAGAAGCAATTGACAAACTCTTAAAAAGAGCTAAAAAAAAGAAAGAAAGAAAAGCAAAACATGTCTTTGATCTTTAAAATCATCTTCTTACTTCTCATATGCTCTTCCAATGCAAAATCCTAAGAACCCTTGGGGCAGTTATACAATGAAAATATAAAAATATCCTCTGAAACTAAATTATCTACTAATATTGATCACCTTTTAGTAGAATTAGTGCCTGAAACTCCCTCAAGTGGCTTTATTTTCGCCTCATATGGTAAAGGGCAAGACCAAGTTTATGGTCTATCTCAATGCAAGCAAGATGTGAATGAATAAAAATGCTCTATTTGCATACAATACGTGGCAAAACAAATTAGAAAGAAATGTCTAGACAAGCTGATGTAAGAATTTGGTATGATTACTGCTTTTTAAGGCATAGTAATGAGAACTTTATAGGAATAGTTGATACATCTTTCGGTATATTCTATTGGAATGTTGAGAATGTAAGTGATACTGAAGCTTTTAATAAAGAACTGGGATCTTTAATGGATGAGATTAAAGCAGAAGCTGTCATGGCTAAAAACAAAGGGCTTGGGAAAAGGAAGGCCAAGTTATCTTTATTTGTGACACTTTATGCATTGGTTTAATGTACAGGAGACTTGTCTAATATATCTTGTGCTCAGTGCTTGGCTATTGCAGAGAGCAACTTTGCCACCTTTTGCAAAAGTCATAAAAGGTGTAGAGTGTTGTATAGTTCTTGCTATGTCCGATATGAGCTCTGTCCCTTCTTTTTCCCTCTTGATTCTAACATCAAAGAGCTCAACAAAACTGAAATGGTCATCGTTTATTGATGAATGTTTTAATAACACTCTTAATTGCCATGTTATGTTATCTATTTCAGCATGAAAATCCTACAATCTCAAAAGTATATGCAAAGATTGAAGGATTAATAGTTGTTCACCAATTTATCAGAAGGTCTTTTTAAAAATAACAATAAAATGGCAGAGCTCAACAACACTGAAATGGCCATTGTTTATCCACGAAGGTTTCAATAACATTCTTAATTTCCATATTATGTTATATGTTTTAGCATGAAAATTTGAAAATATTAGAAGTATATGCAGAGATTGTAGGCTTTGAAGTTGTTTACTACTTCATTGATAGGTTGATAGGTCTTTTCAGAAAGTGTTGTGTAATGACTCAGTGATAGAGATAGATAAAATCAAATTCTAATGTAAATTTTGAAAGAACCAATTCAGATGGCTATATATGTCTGTGTGACTTGTGTGAGATTATTTCACTTAGACTTAGCATCAGATTAATTAAAGCTTTTTAACTTGTATGAAGGTTCAATCAAAACACTAATTTAGTTAGCATATAAGTTAGGTGGAAATCATAATTATCATATATCTTTCAAAAGTGTGTAGTTTGTAGGAGAATTATGCATAAGTTTCTTACAACAGAATTAAATACTTGTAATTTTACTCTATTAAGTTGTCAATGAACCTTATGGTATTTAATAGGATAGTGAGGGATCTTAAAGCAATTCTGTCATTATTAATTACTAGTTTTGTTCTTAGATTTTTTTTTCTAAAATTAAAACTAAAATTTGATTTGTCACATGTGTTTTCCAGATAATAGATATCACATCAAAGTATATAAAAAATTTATGTGAGAAATGAGTGTTTCTCATATTATATGTAATTGAAATTTCAAAATATATACTCACTAAATGATATTTTACAATTTTAGATTAAGTGGCTTTATGTTCAAAAATAAAAATGTAAATTTAATCTATAACAATGAAATAAAACTTAAAAACAACACGAAATTTAACATGAAAAATCCTTTAATGTTGAGGGAAAAACCTCAAGACAACTCTACTAAAGTTTTATTATTTCAAATTAATTACATTATCCTCCATACTTATAAGTCATAATACAAAAGGTACAACAATTACAATGTTCTTAAATATTACAATTCTAACTAAAGCAGCAATTTTTCTTGAGCTTTTCACACTCAAAAGACCATATCTTTTCTTCAGCCACAAAAAAAAGGACCATATCATTTCTTACTTCTCGGTGTAACTTAGCTCACTCTATGCGTCTCCTTTGAAATAATAAAAATTGACCTCTTTTTACTTGTGAGTTTTCAGCTTGAGTGATAGGACCACTCTTTTCAATTTTTTCCTTGCAAACCACATGAAATTGATATTTGCATACATCAGTTCCTCACTCTGCAAAAAAAAAAAATTCACATACAAAATTTATTTTAAAGGCTACAAAAGTAAGCTGGCAAATACAATTAAGTGATCATTATACTCCCAAAAATGAACATGTATATGTGTGTGTATCAAGTGCTCTAGTACCTTCTTATAATGTTTCAGCAATCAGAGCATCCATAGTAGTCTTCATCCATCTATAAAATGGAAAGTTGCAACCAACATAGAATTTAGAAAAGAAATCGAGCTTAATAGAGATTCAGACAAGGAAATTAAAATAGCAAACAAAACCCCCTTCCCTTTTGCAACAAGTAAACACAACATTAGAGAGGAAGTTAATAATTTACTTGCTTGTGCTTTAAAATATAAATTTTGATAGATTATTATAATTGGAAAAGAACCAACATTTTTCATGATACAGACATAAATCCTTTGACACAAATATCAAAAACATCTGTGGAAACGTCTGTAAAAATACATTGTCTTTTTCATTTTACTTCAAATGCTAATGCATTTCTCTTTAAATCCTATCTTCCTCGTTACAGCTGAAAATTGAACTCGAGTCTATCATACTCATCAAGCTTTAAACAAAATCCATTTTCACAGCAAAACTCAAGCTTCCCAGTTATTTCTTGTGCTTCAAATAATTAATGAAAAGCTTCAAGGACTATAGTTAAATTGTAACACACCAATTTTTTTTTAAAATAATTTAACTCAACCATAGTTGGGTTACAGCCACCCAACATATTTTTATATCAATAATTTTAATATAAAATATTTTATAATTAGCTTCAACTCACACAATATAACATTTTAGATAAATTTTTACCTCCCACATGCCATTAGGCTAAATCACATTTGTCCATCCTTATACTCCCAACAAGTAAACTAAATCACATTTATCCATCCTTATACTCCCAACAAGTAAAATAAGTAATTTAGTCAATTTTCAACACAAGCCAGTTATTTGGCCTTATAATCATGCCATTTTAACCAATCCATAGTAAACCAAATATTAAAATTACAGTCATCCAAATTGTACTAAAAATAGAAATAGTTTGAAAGGCATGATTACATTTATATATTCATATAATTGATAATAAACAAAAAGCCCTAATATTGGCAATATAACACATTATATATCATAAATCAAATACCCAAAAGAGACAGTGGATCTATGCCATTAAGCATCTGGGACTCCTCCACGTGTCACTTGTGGCTCTTCTCCTGAAAATTGTTAACCACATAATGAGACTCAAAAGTCCCAGTAACCAATACCAATTTATGATAGTGTGTACAAACAGTTAAATGTGTGCTTATTAAGTGAGAATTAAAAATAATATAATTCCAACAAATATAAGAAATATTACAATACACACAAATAAATATTCTTATATCCCTCCATTAACCTCGAACCGCAGCCCTCACTCGGTGTTAAATTACCTGGCCAAAGGTAGATTAGCCCGAGCCCTTACAAGCCACCTATTGAGCTCCAATAGGGGCGTACCACGTGGCACATAAATACAACAACAATAGCAAGTATCCCAATACCTCTCACAATAATCAAACAAATTCATAATAATATTGCACAATTACATAATATTACAAAATTCATAATTTTCTCAATAATCACCCAATTAACATGAAGTAACACTAATCACAAATTAAAAGCATGGTTACCTTGTGGCTTTTTCAATAAATTATTCCTTAAAATTTCTCTCCCACCACAATCTTCACCAATAATACAATCTACAAATAACATATTATTTATAAATATTAGTTTTAATTTTTGAAACTAATAAAATAATTCTAATAATAGAATTAAAAATGTAACATAATTTCTAATCTCAATCTTAATACAAATCTAGAGTTAATACTATTAAGTAAAATTTTTAACTCCTCTTTTACTCATCAATAAACATTAATAATCTAAAAATTAACTTCTAAACTAATCTCTATTGTCAAAATTTTCTTTTTATTTTATAAATTCGCACCTAAAATATCCAAAAATTAAAAATTAAATTTCTAGCTTAGAATCATAATCCTATAGCCATAATAATTCATTTCTCATCCCAAATAATCATCTAAACCTCAATAAATCAACATATATTTTCAGATTTAGTTTAGAATTTGATCCATAAGCCACAAATTCAAAGATCGTCAACAAATTTATATTCTAGAACATTTATTATACTACCAACAACCTCAAAAACCATATTTCTTCAACATAAATTCATCACTCTTCCAAATTCTAAATTTTCTACCACCACAAAATCAGAAACCAAAGAGAAAGGATGACTAAGAAAAATTTTTAGAACACTTACTTAGTCTTGAAAAGCTTAAAATCACATCCTAAATATCCTATTAAAAACTCTTACCTTAAAAACTCAGATCTCCCGCACCGGCGACTCACGCTCACTCTGCCTTAACTCACGCACGAAGGAATGAATGAAGAAACGAAGGAAACAGGTGAGTTTTTATAAAAATTCAGTAGGTCCCACATCTTTTTTTATTATTTCTTCTTTCCTCTCTCTCTCTCTTTTTTTTATTATTATTATATACATAATCATTGCACCGAAAGCCGCTCATGTTTTCTTCTTTCTTTCCTTCCTCTTTCTCATACCTTTTCTTCTTTTTTTTATAATAATAATAATAATTTAATATTTTTTTAATTAATTAATTTTTTTATTTTAATTTAGAATTATATCATGAGTTAGATTTAATAATCATCTTCTACTAATTTGCTTACCTCTAAATATTTTTCAAAATTTCTATTAACTCAAATTAACTATTAAAATTTAAATTGGGATGTTACAATTATATTAGTCTACCCTATATAAATGCTCTTTGGTGTGGATTGTAAAGAAATGAGCTTGGCTAAAATGCCCTTCAACCTATTAGCTAAAACCTTAGAGATCATATTGTAAGAATAATTACACAAGCATAAAGGTAGAAAGTGACTTACCTCTTTAAGCTAATAAATCTTCAAGATGAACACAATATTAGTCTAATTTATCTGCTGTAGAGAAACACTTTCCTCCAGAAAAGATTTAACCATTTCAAACACTTTGTCACCCAATATTTCCCAAGTAGATTGATAAAAATCACTTAAAAAGCTATCCAGTCCTTATGCTTTTGAGTCTCCCATAAAAAACATAGATCCTTTTACCTTCCCAAAAAGTCATTTTCCTGCATGACAGCATCCACTCTACTGACATTCTTCTCCACATAATTCAGCACTCCACTAGTGATGTTAGGACAAGAGAGAAAGGTAAGAGAAGTTGAAGTAAAGAAGAACAAAGAGGGAATAAAGAGAATCAAAACACTGAATCATTCAAGTCATAATCTGAGTTACAAAGTAAGTAGTATTTATAAGCTCAACATCATAACTATCTTAACAGTCATTTCTTGTTATTCCCTAACTAACTTTATAACTCCTATTTTTTTCATTTATGTAATTATTATTATACAGCACAATATGCATGTAAAATAATAGAAATGTTCTAGAGTACTTTTTTTTTACTCTAGATATGTTATAAATACCCTAGAATATTTCCTGCCAAGTTATAAAGGAATAGATTATGGTACTATAAACTTCAAATGTATATTCCCAAAATTGAGTTTGAACTTAAAGCTTCAAAAACGTGAAGAAAGTAAAATAGAAAACCTAATATAAAGAGCAAAAGAAGTTAATTGCAGACACACCTATAAAATTGGTCCTAACTAGTTTAAATGCCATAGAAGTAAGGTGGAAAATAAAATTAACCAAGAAGTACTCAAGTACCTTGCTCATGAGTGATGAATTAAAGCATGTCAGAGTAGGCTTCTTCTATTTGTATAATAGATTGACTGTAACCAAAAAGAATTTGAAAATGAAATGGAAGTCAAAATTTTTGAAGCATTTTGATTAAATATTCATACATGATAAAGGTAAAAAAACTATGTCTTTATTATTTTTTCCCCAAAAGCCAGTTACGCACAAACAAACAGAATCTTTTGTGTAATAGTTACAAGCCTACAATTGAATACCTTTAGATGGATGCAAGGAAGAATCATATCTGATAGCCATTAATCCATATGCTAGGGATGTGAGAAATTTTGGGCCATTCTGAACCTCTTCCTCTCTCACATCTTTGTAATAAAAGTAGATCTCCATTCAATTGCAATGATTGTAAATTAACAAGGCGTTGTAATCCGTCAGGTAATGACTCCAGATTTTGACAATTATGAATGACGATAAATTGTAGCGATTGGAGATCACAGATCCAGTCAGGTAAAGTCCTGGGATTTTCAGAGAAGAGAATGTTGATTGTTTGGAGAGAATGAAGGCATTGAACTGCTTGACACTGTGTGCTAAAACCCTCGTCAACGCTCCATGGATTAAGGTTGTTAATGCCTTGAAAAGTGACTTGTTCAAGTTCAGCAGGTAGATGTCGCATATGACGAAACATACTCACTAAACTTGATAAGCCACCAATAGAAAGATTCTTGAGAGAGGTAAGATTTCGCATCCACTCTTCTGGTAAAGCTTCTACGTCCATATCTTGAAACCCTAAATACTCGAGCTTAGAAAGAGAAGGACATGAATCTTGTGTTGCAGACGATCCACTTATGCTAGCTTTTACAGTGTCTAGCAATGGCTTCGTGCTACAATTCTTCAAAACCAAGCGCTCCACGAGACTGAACGTAGGCATGGAACTCAAGTTTGGACAATCTTGAATTATTATATATGAAAGGCAAGGAAATGGAGGCAGTGAACGATGCATTTCATTATCGATTACATTATTGACATCTGCTTCCCTTTGCCATCCCCTAAAATTTTCACAATCAGAAAAGTTCATGTCCTTCAAAGATGGGAAGAAGCTAGTTTTGTGCAATGAGGAACAACCTTTATTATAACATATGTATTCCAAATCATCCATGTTCCATATACATAGAGTCTTAAGAGAAACCAATGCTTCCAATGATGGCAAGTATTGACAATTCCCACAACCATCGAGTTTTAAGTCTACAAGATTTGTGAGTGAAGAAAGCCAACCTGGAAATCTCAGCCCTGGGTAATCTTCCACTGTCAATTGTTTCAAACTTGGATGAGGACATAGCTTTTCTAGAAGTTGTAAGCTATCACTATTTCTTGACTCTGTAGCTCTTCCCCAATCAAGTCTCAGAGACTTAAGGTTCTTCTTTACTTTCAAATTAACATCCTTGGACTCTTCTTCAACTTCCCTTACTAAGTTGAGATTCTCAATAGATAATTCATGTCTAAGATTGAATTCTTTCAGTTCATTCAGTTTTGCATATTTTCTCTCCTTATCAATATCATTGCCTACTCTAAAATCTGATAAACTTTGCAGGGCATTCAATTTCTCCAGCCCAATTGGCATTCCACATTCAAAGGCCTTACAGTTATTGATATGAAGATGACGCAAGCTGACCAACTTTGGGACACAATCTATGGAAAATCTAAGAGTATAACATCCCATTAGTTTCAAAGTTTGCAAATTGACTAGGTTGCTTACACTGTTAGGCAAGCTGGTCAAATTCTCACAATGAGAGAGATTAAGGTATCTTAAATGCTTCATTTTACCAACTGAATTGGGCAAATCTTTGATGTTTAAACTTTCTGATAGGTTTAGACTCCGCAAGCATTTGAAGTCTAACAAACTAGAGGGATTGATCTCTAGTAGTCTTTGTATTCCAAGCATAGTTCTCAATCTATTTGCATTCAACAAATCTAACGAACAGTTGGAATCACAGTCAAAGGAAACATGCATAGGAGTTGCAACCATTTTTCTCCTCTCATTATATAACTGATAATCAGAGCTTGCAACAGATTGCAAGAGGTCATGTACCAAATTGTGTATTTTAAAGTACTTTATTTCACCAAATTCATTCATCTCAACATCTTGAAGAAATGACCTCATCAACAAAACACAAACATATTGTTGGCCAACATCTTCTAGACATTGTTTTTCATTTTGACTATCAAGAAAGCCTTGTGCCATCCATAATTCAATCAAGTCATCCTTATCATATCTCCAATTTTTTGCATATAAGGAACAATAAGCAAAGCACTGTCTTAATTCAAAAGAGAGGTGATCATAGCTTAGTTTTAGTACAGGCATGATTGAATTATTACTTTCATATAGCTTCCAAAAGTCATCATCCAATATAGATTCCCAGTTGTTTTCCTCCATTTTGGATTTTAGCATACTTCCCATAGCTCTTATTGCTAGCGGTACTCCTCCACATTTCTCTGCAATTTTTTGGCCAATAGGCTCAAGGTTTTGGTTCATTACTCCTCCTTGTCCAATTGTTAAAGTTTTTAACAAAGCCCAAGACATATCATTTGTTAGACTTTTCAAAACATATGGGTTTTCCGCACCCATGCATCTTGCTACCATTTGATTACGGGTAGTCACTAAAATCTTACTACCTTCAACACCACACATCAAATACTTTTTCAGATGTAACCACTTTTCCTGATCTTCATTCCAAACGTCATCGAGGACTAGCAAATATCTTTGGCCATTTAAATTCTCTTCAAGTTTATTTTGAAGCAATTGTAATTGTTGGTCATTTACATCTCTCCCAATTGATGATTCTAATATTTTTTTAACCAGTGCTTTCACATGGAACTCTTCAGAAGCACACACCCACATTTGCTTATTGAAAAATTTGTTCACTTCAGCATTATTATACACCAGCTGGGCAAGAGCTGTCTTACCTAAGCCGCCCATCCCAACAATGGCAATCACAGAAACACTTTGATTGCTATCAATGTTGAGCAGTAAATCAATGATCTCCTTCTTGCTTTCATCCCTACCAATGATATTCTCTTCATTCTTAGAACTAGTTTCCCTCCAGTTACTCTCATTCTGCCTCATTACCAAAACTCTTGAATGCAAATTCAACTTAGAAACATCTTCCGCAACTGCATTAAATCGCTCTCTTATCTTTTTTATCTTGCGAGCAATTTTTAGGCGGAAGGCAATTGGATTTGAGGATGAAAAATAGTCACGTACCTTTCTTTTGCCATCTCTTTTGCGAAGCAAATGTTCAGCTTGTAAATCATCAAGCAAGTCATCTGCGTTGAGAAGAACTTGTTTGAGCCTCTTTATCCATAGCTTGATGAGCTGGTCGTTCTGCTGTTTTCGCTCTGCATCAACAAGCACAGCTTTGATGGCTTCCACAGTGTCTCTGAGCCTTTCTATTTCACCGTCGACCCCATAAATCGATGCAATTTCTTTGAAGGCTGATGAAGCTAACCTGTTGATGATACTCACAACCACACCATAAGGAACTTGTTCGGCCATTTTTCTGAGTAAAGGTGCAAATTGTAGTCTGAAAATGGAGAGAGAGATGTATCACAGCATGGAGCTTAACATTAGAGAAAAACGACCTCAACCTCAAGTTGTTGACTTCTGACAATGGAAATTACGAAGAAAAGTATACACATGTTAGCTTTGATGTCCCACTGCATATATAATTAATATTGTCTAGTGGCATCCATTCTTTATGGATGATTACTTGATATTCTTCAAAGTCCACCTTGGGTGCTTATGCTAGCTGTAGGTAACCACCATGGTGCTCATCCTCTGTGAGATTTTTACCATTTTAACTTACCATTTTTTAAACAATAAATTTATTTATTTTTTAATAGGGTAAAAGTTAAGAGATTATTTTCATTTTTAACTCTGCGTCTATTAAAATAAATTTTTTAAAAAATATGAAAATAATTAATATTTAATTTGAATACTTTAGACTTAATCCAAATGATCCAAATTGATATACAGGAGCCAGAACCATATTCTTCCCCGCGCCACGAAACCCCATCATTTGTCAATTGTAGCAATATCCCAAAAAATGCAGATTTCATTTAAAGACTTAATAATAATAATAATAATAATAATAAAAGGATATGCAGTGGCAGTAACAAGGAAATGCAAGAGAGAGGAAGGGAAGTGTATGAGAAAATGAATGTAATAGAAATGGTTTGAAAAAGTCCACGCGTTTAGTTTTGAATTGACTAATTGTCCTTGAGTAGCTTCCCGGAAATTAATCTGGACCCCCCCCCCCAAATGCATTTATTTTATATTAAATTTAAATTTGGTAAATAGTCTAAGTTAATTCAATAAGTGTCTCAATTATAAAATTTTTAAATTTTATTAATATTTAAAAATTATTAAAATATATTTTCTTCTAAAAATTTAAAATAATTTTCATGATTAAAATGCTTTTAATGTATACTGTTCTTTTTAAAAATTTGATATTTAATATTTTTCTAATACTATATCACAAATTTTTTTTATAATTATTCAATTACATCAAACACTTGTTACCATGACACTTGTTACCTTGGCATTTCACACTAGACATTTCACTTTGTGTCTTTAGCGATGATTATGAAGAGACCAAAAGGGCTTAATGGGCTTCGTTGACATGACTGTTGACGACCACTCGGCCCATTAGTTGTTTACACTCTCAAAGCCAGTGTTCTTGGGCAGATTCAAGAGCTGAAGAATACAACAAACCTTTCCGGAGAATTCTGCATTTGGATCGAGGGTTGAGAGTTGAGAACGCTTTTTTAAAGGGTGAAGAATATTAATCGCAAAATGACAAACCTTTATTAATCAAAATTTTTTGGATGAACCCTTTATTAATCAATTTAACAAATCACAGTGAGTATAACAAACCCTGGTACAATGATTTTACAAAAGAAAACATATAATTTATCTATTTATAAGACACTTACAATATATTTTATTAAAATTAAAGAAAATTTTAAAATTTATTAATAATTTTTTAACTTTACTTCTATTAAATATATATATATATTTTAATTTTAAAAATATATTTTTTCTCTTCAATATTCAATAAAGATCAAATGAAAACATTTGTGATGAAAATTTAATGAAAACTTATAAATAAAATAAAAACATATTTTCTCTTTGTCCTGTAAATAACTAAATAGGACTGGAAATAATATAATTAGTGGCCAAGCTAGGAGGGATAGAAGATAATTTAATTTAAAAATTAATTACTATTTTTAAAAAAATAATAATTTAATAACTAAAACTAATAATTATATTAAGACTGAATTTGAAACAATATAAGTAGATAAATAATATTTTTTTTAAATTATGTTGAATCTGTTGACATATCAACAAATCCTTTCTTGAAGGGTATTAAATCAGCTCCAAACTATGGGATGAAACAATGAGAGAATAATACTCTAATAAAATTTTTTACTTTTAATATGATATTATACTCTCTCTATTTAAAAATATAAAGTATTTTTTTATCAAATCTCAATCTTAATAAAGTAATTAGTTGTCTTCAAATTAATACCATCTTTTCATATTTACTTCTATTTAATATGATATTTTACTTTTAAAATAAATATAAATTAATTTATTTATTATGGACATTTTTTTAAAAAAACAAATTAATTATATTTTGAAACATGAAAAATGTCTTATATTTTTTAAATATTTAACCCTTTAAACAAAATTTTTACATTTTTTTAATGGAGAGTGTAGCTCTTTTATACAAATGTTAGGATCACCAATTGAATAGGTGATTCACACTAATCGATTTGACTGATACATCCTTTTAATAAACATCAATGTCTTGAATGAATCAAATTTTTTATACTATTAAAGAAACATGAAGAGTGTTGAAGCATCCAAGATATAAAATAAAAGTGAAAATTATTGAAGATTCGTAAATGACTTATGAAAACTAATGCATAGGAGGAAAGAGTATTTTGGTATTCTCATTTAAGAGAAAACTTAATTAAATTAGGTATATCATATCATTTACAATTTATTTAATTAAAATGTTTTAAATAATTGAAATAAAATTTTGTGTGACATTTTTTAATTGATTTTATTTATATAACAAAATGTATATTTAATTTCTTACCTTTTTTTTTACTATCATTAAAATCAGAATCAATTTATATTTAATATTATCTAAATATTATATTTTTATTATATAGATAATAAATGATATGGGCATTCGGTTTATCTAAATATTTTTCCTTGTGTAAATACATGCTTTCCCCCTATGGACCGAGGTCTCCCATAAGATTTATTTTAAAAATTTGGGATTTATGCGCAAACACTTGGGCCTTTGTTCCCTGTGCCCAATCGTCCCATTCATTTATGAGCTATGCGACCTTTGAAAAGGGAAAATGTAAATAAGGTATTGCTTGTGGATGTGGTGGCGAATCCATAATTTAGTGGTCCAGTTTGCAAGCGACACATCAGTTCATTAATACTTTGGAGGCATTCTAGAAAGAGAAAGAAAGAAAAGGACATTGATTAGTTTGAAGATAGGACGCATAAAATGCTGATTCCTTTAATCCAATGTGACTGAGACTCAGTAATAACGACTCAGGATTCATTTTTTTTTTTCAATACTTTGTCAATTTTTGTAATCACTATTACATCATCGTGATGTCACCCATATAGGCTAAAACAATATTACACTTAAAAAAATTCATATTTATTATGCTAGGAAAATTAAACAAATGAGCCTTACAATCACAAATTAATAAAATATTGCCAATTACTAATCACTATTCCATAAGTGTATTTTTTCAAGCATTTGTTATTTAAAAGAAAAGACACCTTAAGGAATGTTACTATGCATGCTATGTAAAGAATTGCAAAACTGCCCATGTTTCTAAGTCCTTGAACACATTTGGACTTAGATAATTTTTTTTTTATTGTACCGAACATCATTCGAAAAATATTTTGTTTTTAATTTATGTCTCAATTATTTAATTTTTTTCCCAAAAAAATTAAATGTACCGTATATTCTACTAGAAATCTTATCTGTGATAAAGCAAAGAGAAAGACAATTTGAATTTGTATAATCAACAGAGTTGTCTAATTTAATGGTGATTAGGTTTTTAAAAAAAAAAGAGCCCATTTTAAAACACCAGCACATCAACAATGATTGAATCAAATCAAAAAGCTAATTGCTTTTAGTCAGAATCAAATGTTTGAGCTTGCAAGTTGCAAGTGAAAAAAAATTGTATTAAGAAGAATCTCTTATTATTGACTTGACATTACTTAAATTTAATTTAATAATACTGAGTATCATATATGTGTATATTTATTATTGACATATATACTTAAAAGAAAGTGAATGACTATCAAGCACTGGTTAAGATCAACTAGTAAAGGAATAAATTCCTCTTAACTAGAAAGGCTTTGAGTTCGATTCTTGAACATGCAAAAATGATTAAATTTATCGTAGGTTTGCCTCTAAAAAGATACTCACAAACTACTAAGTGGATTAGTTTAGGTGAAAACTTGAGATATCGGGTTAGAGAAAAAATAGAAGAACAAGTGAATGAGGAGAACAACTTTTTCACTCTCCTTTTATTCGTTTGGGCCCTACACAACAGAGGCTTTTACCGTATTGAGGCATCTTAAATTATTGCCTTCACTTGTCTGTCACGCTGTATTATTACCTATCACTACAAGTCTACTACTACTATCGTTTTGAACGTGGTGCACTGATTCCTAATTAATGATTTCGTGCTGGATCGCATTACACGACACCATGAAAATAAAATAAAATTACACGTAAGAATTGTAAAATATTTGAAGCATGCACGTTCTGAATTAATCAGATCGTAGAATAAAAGTGTAGATCTACCAATGACAATGATTGTACCTAATTATTTAATTACAGGGATAAGCAAGATAAAGTAATTAAAAAAACAAAGTCACTCTTCCCACATGAAGTATTTCAATATACACATACCCAGCAAACAAATTTAAACTTTTTAAGCATATTTCAATGTATATACTCTACAATCGTTGTAGAGAAGATGCAATTAATTAAGTTCTTAGGAGGTAATTCTTGTTAATTTTTGAGGTCAATGTATATAAGATGAATTAATTAAGCGTTGTTGTTTCTGCGTTTTCTGGTGAAGAAGACGATCCAAGTGATGACTTCGAGCAACAAGGCAATGACAGCCAGAGCAGCAATGGCTGCCACGTAAGCAATCTTCCATCTTCTGTGAGGGCTCAAGATGTTGAATCCTCCGAATATGTTAATGATTCCAAGGATGATGGTAATATATCCAATACCATGATGATACATATTCCACCAAGTTCTGTACTTGTGCTCCTTCTTTGGTCTCAAGAACAATGCAAAAACCTGCAATTTTATTTTTTATCATCACACCCAATAAAGTTGCTCAATACATATCATACCATTATAATCACATATTACAGCATCAAACTTATAACAAGTCACATTATTCATAACTTATAAGCTGCATGTTAGAAAT